CCAATTAAAGTGTCAGCAGAGACTTTATATTTTACATACTTTTTTTTTCTCCCAAAACATGAGAGTATGTTGAAACAGAAAATATCCTTTCCAGCTGGATTAATAAGTAAACATGTTGTAAAGAGAGATATTTAACAAAACGGCAACATCAACCGAAGCTGTGTGATCACAGCTTGTGTTTCTCTAGTGTTAGTGCAGTATCCTGGGCCCAAACTCATTTTGACAAAATGTCTCCTAGAATCACTGAATGCCGGAGGTTGGAAGGGAGCTTTGTGCCCACTGCCTCTCTCATTTCACTGGATACCACTGAGAAGAGTATGGCTGCATCTTCTTTTCCTGACTCTATTAGGTACCTGTACAAATGAGTAAGATCCTGCTGAGCCTTCCCTTTGAAAGGCTGAGCAGTCCCAGCTTTCCTGGCCTCTTCTCACGTAATAAGCGCTCCAGTTTCTTGTAAGTGTTCGGTCCTGTTTTGCTAATTACTTTCTGTCTGGTGAGAGCTTCCTTCGGGTACCATCTGCGAATTAGATCCGAGCTGTGCATGGAACAGCAGTTCCTGCTCACAGGCTCTGCCTGGTCTGGGAGCATCCTGGGTGCCAGGTCTTTCCCTGGGGATTCTGAGGAATGTGTAGCTGTGCTAGTGCCAGGAGAAGAACAGACTCTGGGAGGCAAAAAAACAGACAAAGTTTCATCTCTGATATAGAATGTTGAGGAACAGCTAGTAGGTGCGTTGGAAGGGAAGCCTTAATGAAGCTCTGTGATCCAGACTGCCATGTGTTCTGCAAACCTGTTTTTTCATGTCTAGAGAAATGTTGTAGAACTTTTCCCAGCTGTCAGTGTTCTGAGTGGCCCTACAGAATGGCTGTATAGTGATCAACTAAATTATGTTGTATTAACTGCCTTAATTCTCATTTCCATTTTCTGTGGGCAGTTGCATGCCAAGTGGTATATTTCAAAATTGGCCTATTATCCTGTCATATTGTATGAACATTAAGTGTAGATCTTTAAATTTGTGACAAGATCATGCTGATAAAACAGGTTTAGTTGTTTTGTCTAATTTTAAGCAAACAGGGACAATGTGCTGATTGCACAGGAATCACCTCAGGGTAAACTTCATCCTGTTCTTAGTTAGATCTGTAATCATGCAGGTGTGGGGTGTGTTGTCATTCCCTTTACCTTGTGGCTGTGACATGAAGAACATAATACTTCTGCAGATATACGACTAGTTTAGGACAAACAGTGAAATAACATTAAGTTTAAAAATTTAAATTCTTAAAGGCTGATTCAGTGCTTGATTCTGTTACCACTGGAAAAAGGGGCAGTGTTCCCCACTGGAGTGCCCTGACTTTAGGCCTCCCAGACAGTTCTTCGTGTGGTGGGTGGATATGTAGTGTATGGGGACCAGACCCCTGGAGAGCACAGGAGCCTGTGTGGGAGGTAGAGCTGGCATAGAAGTACGTAATGCATTGGCCTTCCTAAAATCCTCATGAGCCTTGGTCTTTCATCCCCCCTTTTTTTCTCCTCTTTCTTTAGCATGTCCTTAAATAAGGTTTACGGAAGTGGCACTCGGTTTGTGAGCAGTACTGGTGTCCTAAGCTTCACTGTAGCTCATGGCAGTCGCTTTTGAAAATCAGACTGAGTATGGATGGAGAGCTGTGAACACAGGGGCTTGCGTGGGAAGGTTTGTGTATGCAGATCCCTTCAATTGTGCAAGGGAAAGGACACTAATGTGATGAGGTGGTCTGTATCTGTCCCCGTCTGGAACCTCTGCGCCATCTTCAACCCTCGTTTTCTTGCAAATCATTAACCGATCTTGATCAGGTTTGACCCTGTGGTGATGTGTTCAAAGATGGTTTATGCCTCAAGACTGCCCAGTTAGTGGGTGTCCCCTGCATTACCATCCCCCCTGTCGGGTCTGCTTTGAACAGTGGCAGCCGGTGGGCAGATAGGCTGGGGCTAGGGGGCAACAAGTGATTATAGAGTGATTCCAGGCTGCTGCTGCAAATACTCCTGACTCTTCAGAAGAAACAGATTTGGTAAAAGGCTGGTGGAGAACTGCAGGAGGAAGGGAGGATGGGGACATGCGAGCTGGGTTGGAGTTGTTAGGGGGTGCACAACAGAGCCCTTCCCACTGGTGCCGTTTGCTCTGCTCTTGACCCCCCCCCTCCTCCTCCCACTGAGTTAGTGGGATGAATTCACGCCTGTCTAGTGCAGTAGCAAGGGTACAGCACCATGAGGAATCCTTCCCCATAGATGTGTAGCTTAATGGGTAATATATTGCAGTGTACATTAATAGGAACTAGCCTCTTCTAGTTGTTACTGTTAGCTTCTCTAACTCCTGTTTTGTTAGGTGATCTAGTTGCTGTTTTGTTAGGTGATCAAAAACCTGTTGCAAAATGTTTTGCTTCATAATCTGAATGGTCAGTATTTTCAGATGGTAGAACAAATGTTTTTTTCATTGCTGTTAACAGCTTTTCTCTTATGTTACTGCTACCAGTGCAGTCCTAGTCACAGGTCAGATCACACAGAATCCCAGAAGGGTTGGGGCTGGCAGGGACCTCTAGGGATCCCCCAGCGCAGCCCTGCTCCAGCAGGGACACCCAGAGCAGGGGCACAGGGTCCATCCAGGCGGGTTGGAAGATCTCCAGAGCAGGAGCCTCCACAGCCTCTCTGGGCAGCCTGTGCCAGGGCTCTGGCACCCTCACAGGAAAGAAGTTCTTCCTCACACGGAGATGGAACTTCCTGTGTTTCAATTCATACCCATATTAGTTTGTCCTGTCACTCATTCATCCTGAAGCTTTTATTTTTGGCAACGTCTTTGGCAACTCGGCAATAATAAGAGTATTTATGGCTCCTGGTGGGAAAACCTAACTTCTATGTACAGCGTTATATATGTATATATATATTTAAAAACATTAGAAGAAAGAGGAAATCATTTTTTTTTATTAGAAAGAAATATTTTCTTCGTCAGTTCACTTTTGTTACATATAAAATAATACCAAAGTAGGGACAGGATTCCTGGCTGATCCGCTGTCAGCTACCTCTACATAATGGTCTCCCTTCTGACCCAATAACTATCGAAGCTACTTGAAGTGCCCTCCGTTCATGCAGAGGGGAGAGACTTGCAGCCCCCAGGCCACGCACCGAGTCTAGCCTTCCATTTAATATAGGCGATCAAGACATTAAAATTCCGGTATACCTCTTTACTGCAGTGATATTACTAGCTAATGCTTCAGTATTTGGCATCCATTTACTGCAACTTTTATGTCAAACACTCACCTTTTAAGAAAGACACATTTAATTGCTGTTTTGAAACAATTCTATCTGCATGAATGTATTATATGAAATAGAAATGTCATTCAGAACCCAGTGTCAGAAAGTTTGTCTTCTTTTGGCAAAGAAATTACTAAAATGGGATTCAAAGTGATTTGCTTTGTTTTCATCCTTCTTAAGTTACCCTTAGAAAGAATCATGTATTCATAACAGAGTATATTTCAATGAAGACCACCATTCAGTATAATTTATCAGTGAGGAATTGTAAGTGTGCTTTTATTGTAATTTCGATTCATGTGTGTGTCAGTTATACCTGAAGTGTTGGGGGAAAAAAAAAAAAAGAGTTTTCCTGCAAGCCGGTTACAAGCCCTGTTGGAACTTGTGTAACGTCAGTCCTTTGACTCAATAGACCGCTTTTACACTTTTACACGTTTGTGTCTTACAACAGTTGTTTTAGTTTATATTATTAGGAGCATTAGGCCGTTTCCATATAAGGAATATCACATATGCCTTACAATGTAGCCTAAGATTGCCTGCAAAAAACTTCATGTAAAATTAATTATTGTAATTAAGCTATAGTAAGTATCAAACTTTGATTTGGATTCCTTGCAAAATAGGCTATAATCCTTGCAAAGATTAGGCTTTTGTATAGGATAAAGTCACTTCTGAAAATAGAGCAAGATGGACATGGTATGCAAGAACTTCAGCTGTTTGTTTTCTGTGTTTGTTTTTTTACAAGGACGGAAGCATCAAAATGTTCACATGTTTCCTAGAGAAACATCTACTGGGATGAATCTTGTTCATTCCTAATCCACCTCAAGCATCCTACACTTGTTGACTTTGGACTCTTCCATGTCCAGTTACAATCACTAGTTTCTCCTGGAGAGCTACCAGTGTAGCATTTTGTACGCATTAGACTAAAATGCACAGTGTCATTCTACCTATGTAGTTAAATTATTGTGATATATGGACTTTCTGCTAGGTAGGAATGTTTGCAGAAAAGTATTTTTTGTTGCTACTTTTAGCTGGAAACTCATACTCAATCCTAGTCCCTAACTCTGTTGGTAGTTCTGTGTTCTGAAAGCAATGCCAAAAAATGTGTAGCTTTTCTGTTTCTCCAGTTTTCCTTTGTCTCGGTAGAATTACTAAGAACCTTCTCACAGTCAGTATTCGTTTTTCCATAGGTGCTTAACTGACAGATAATTCATACTTCTGTTCACTTAAAAATATGTTCTAAAGAAGAGATTTACCACATGTCTTTTATGCCCTTGATTTTAATATTTGTATCAGGCAGCCACATAGTAACACTGTAATAAAAAAAGGGAATTTGTTTTGTGAGGTATGCCAGACTTCTTCATCTTATTTCTTGTTTCAGTTGTACTGACTTCCATCAGATATTTTACAGCAGGTATCCAGGGCAGGCATTTCTCTTTCTGCTTATATAATATAGCTAATCAGAGCTTTAAGACAGAGTCATTCCAGATTCTGTTGACATTCATGATATTAGAGTGGCTGGGTGGGCAGGGCACAGGGTGATATTACCAGAAAGCCTTTCCTGCTTCTTGTTCTGATTGGAGAAGCTCATGCCACTCAAGCAGATTTATTTTAAAACCTGTTTAAGTAGTACTGCTGTGTGTCTAAGCTTGTGGGGAAGGTGCTGCCAGCACAAGAGCATACAGTTAATACTGAACACGGACAGCTTGCTAAAGTGATCAGGAAACAGCAACATGGATGAAGATGAGGAAAACTACTATGGAAAACATGGTAATTTACCTGCCACTTTGCTTTCTTATAGAAAAAAAAAATCACAAGGGCCTAAAACGAATCTTGTTGGTTTCAGCTGCCTTCTTTCTGTTGACTTTAGGGGCTTAGATCCAGCCCCAAATGTTTTTTACTGACTTTTCTTATGAGCGATATACTGATTTTTTCCAGCTTGACATTTACAAGGTTATTTAAACTACAGATCAGAGGTAGACTTGGTATGTCATTGATTGTTGATTGATATATATTGTTGATTTTTAGTGTAAATACTTTTTTTACTACTGCTACAGTATTAATGTGCAAATTAATTTCATTTGGTATTAGAATTGGTAAATATATTATCATGTGAAGTATTTGTTGTAATGGTATTATAACTGAACATAGAACAGTTTCCTATTATAGAACAGTGTGAAATACGTCCATCTGCCTGCTCTGTGAGGAGTGAGAATTATTCCAATTTTTAATCCTAGCAAGCAAATGACTCATTACTCAATTGCACTGACTTCTTCCCTTGTGTCTTCTTTTGAGCACTGTAGATTGCACTGCACCACAGAAAGCAGTGACTTTTGGCCATGACAAACAGTTCTTGGACAACTTTTCAACAGTGGAGTAATTTTACTGCTTTTGATGATTGCTACTATCTCACAGCATCCCTCTGTTTGCTTGGTGGAGAAGAAATTTGCCATTTAAATCAGAGGAGAGACCTCAGGAGAACCATTTGGTAGTGGCAGTGCTGAGGGAGGGTGAGCTTTCCTGCCCTGTTCCCAGCAGTGTTTGTCTAATCCACTCCTAATAGCTTCCAGTGAGGCAGGTTCGGCAGGGCCTTTGGAAAACCTGTTCCACCGTTCGACTGCGTGTGCGGTCAGAAGGGCTCCCAATGCCTAAGCTAAGTCAGCATTACTGTGAATTAAGTTCCTGTCTTCTCTTACTGACTGGGGAACCTGGGAACAATTGATCACTGTAGTTTTTTATAAGATACTTGAAGGCTGTTGTTTCATCTCTCCTGCCTTAATCACAGTCTTTCAAGTTCATTTACAGCATTTTGCAAACATCTTAGCATCTTGCTTTTCTAATCCTACTTTCACCAGTTTGTGCATATCTTCTGAAATTCTGGTGCCAGGATCATGACTTAGAAATAGTTGTTCAGCTGAGGCCTTATTTGTCCCGAGCAGAAGATAAAGTGACTTCCTGGGTTACAACATTCTGCTTGAATGTGATATGCTTTTCTTGCAACTGTGTCACTTTACAGGCTCATACTCTTTCAGTCAATTATTCTACATGGATTTATGAACAGAGTTTGTCTTTTCATTGTAATTTTGGAATACTTTTCAGGTTATTAAAATTGTCTTGAACTGTTAAATTGGTTACCAAAATTCTCTCTCCAAAAGTATTGTATTACTCTTACTTTGCAGTGTTCACTCCTTTTTCTTTCAGTGCTTTTTTCTTTCCAAAAATTACTTTCCTCTTTTAGACTGTCAAATAGTATAATTGTGCTTTTTCCATCAGATGTTGAAGCGCACATTATATTTTTGCACTATTTTCAAGCCTTATTTTTCTGTAGGCTTCTCTTTTGCTCGTAAGAAACCTCATTCATCTCTTACTGGTTGGGTGCTGTAGTAAAGCCTTACCACTGCACAGCTGCTGTTTGTCTGCTCACGTACCATCACTCAGAGACATTCGACACATCTGCTTTTCTCTTTTATGGAATTCAGCATAAAGGTCTTCAGTCCTTATAACCCTGCTATATTTTGTTCCCTACATGCTTCTTGAGCAAGTTTTTCTTTCACTATTCATGTCTTGAAAGATATCCCACTGTATGTATATGATGATGATTCAGTCATAATTTGTGTGATGAAACTTGGATCTACACTCTGGCATGAAAATTATGAGCCTAATCATTGTGATTCCAGATGCTTTTGGAGTAATAGGCCCCTCTCCAATAGATGGATCTCACCTAGGTATGATTTTTCCCATACAGGTGCTTGTCGGGACACTGGTCTCAGTTTTGCATGCAGGTGGAGGGCGAGCAAGAGTTAAACAGGGTCAGCTTGGGCATGAGAGTTTGATAGTCTTGTATTTTTTTTCCTCAGATTCCTGGCATTTGTGTATAAACCTCTTAGAGATTTTGGAAAACGTTTTTTTATTCTAACTTTCCTGACTCCCATGACTTCTCTGTATATGGGCCATGCAAAATAGAAAGGGGGCTAAGAACTGTCCAGCTTCCTTATACGGGGGAGAAATATGTGGAGACAGGGAGTGGGTGGTGTGCTGAGTGTTAGTAATTCTCAACTAAAATATGAACAACATAGATTTTCTCTTCACTCCGAGTCCTCCAAATGCTTTTGAATGAATGACCTAATTTCACATGTGCAGTAATGGGATAGAGCTTGCTACCAACATCCAAGAATCAGATTTTGGGGTTTTAATGGCTTATTAACTGAAAACAGAAAGTAAATAGAGTCTAAGAAGGAATTTTTAGAAAAGAATAGAGATCAAATAAGAAAAAAAATACATGATTGTATGAATCACAGCCAATATTCGCTGTGAATTCTCTGTGTGCAGTTCTGTCCCTTCCTTCTCCACTGATACATAGCAGCACTGAAAAGGGTACAGAAAAGGAATATAAGTATGACCAAAGGTATGGAATTGCTTATATACAAGAAATAACTAAATTGGAATTCTTAACTCTGGAAGACAGACAAGTAAGGAGGCCTGTGATTAAAAACCCTTAACCCATGAGTAGCACAGTATGCTACCATGCAAGTATAAGCTAACTGATGGCAAGTTTAAAGCAAACAAAAAGAGGTGGCGTTGCAAAGTTCATGTGAGTTAAATATAGATTTATTAAGTTAATGAAAAAGAATTTCATTCACAGTTATTAAATACACAGTCACTACCTTTGGTTCAGGAAGGTGCTGAATTACAAGTCTCGTTAATGTCAGCAAGAATTTTAGGGAAATACTGCTGTTTGCCTTGATTTTACACTTCTGAGGCATGCGCTATGGCTGTGCAGCGTGTGCTGGGTGCAGGCTGCGGCCCAGGGGGTCTTTCTGGTGGCGTAATTGGCTCCTCCTGCATGATAAAGCCGCGTCCTGTGTGCGCCCATTTCAGTTCGACTCTAGCCGACCTTGTCAGAGCTTGCGCTGCGGGTGACCCTGCCCGAGCAGGGGGGTTGGACCAGATGGTCTCTAGGGGTCCCTCCCAGCCTCAACTGTTCTGTGATTCTGTGAGGAATATTACAGACTCTAAGTTAACTAGAGAGAAGTTATTTCACACTTAATAATTTTGTAGAAATTTTTGTACTGAAGGGTTCTTCAAAGAAAAGGTTTTGGCTCAGGAAAGGGTATTATGTTTATAATACTGTTGCTTTCTGCACCACAGTGGGTTTCTGCAACCTGTGTGATAGCATAGCTAATGTCTTCTGCTCTCTGGCATTGCTGTCACACAACACTCCTCTGAAGTTTTTGTTCCGTCAACCTCTTCTTGTTAAAATATATTTATTTTAGGAGTTTGATGAGGAGAAGCACTACACCTCAAAAGGCAAATAGCATTGTAGGATCTGCTGTATTTATTGTACTGGTCTGTGCCAGGTAAGATAAGGTTTTTCTGATATAAACCAGGAACAAAGTCTGACATTTAGTTAATAAGTAAATTCTGCTTTTGAGATGTTATTGAATTCTGCATTAATTGAATAAAACAAGTATTTTCTCTTTGGACTGACAGAAGTGGAGGTTAGCCACACCCTTTAATGCCATTAACCTCACAAGAAGAGACCCTTATGTAGGTGGTAAGACAGCAGACTGAAGTCATTTGTATTATAGTATTGGGTTTCCAGATGAAAAGTAATTTTTCATTGCACAAAAGCTGGTTCAGTAAATCACCATAATTGCTGAACTTCAAAACATCCTAAATAGCAGATTAGGATTTGGATCTTTGCTTTTGAAGCAGAAAAGCTTGAAAAATCTAGCTAAGTGAAGGAACACTTGTTTCTGCTACACTCTCGCTGATGTATCTTCCTGACCGGACAGCAGTGTTCAAGCCCGGGTGCATTAGTAGGTCGTGAAGGCCCTGGCAGGCCATGCTGCCCCCGGCCGTGGCTGGGAGCCCAGGCCGGCCGTGTCCTGCCTGAGCGCAGTCCCAGGAACGCGGCTCTGCGGGCAGGGTGCTGGCACCAGCCACGGCTCCGCCTGCGCGCTGGCCTGGTGATCGCGGGCTGGTTCCAGCCGGGTTGCCCTCCCTGCGGCCGCTGTCCTGGCCTGGCCCGGCCCTGCGCTCCGTGCTCAGCCTGCCTCACTCCCTGGCCGCCCGCTCGCTTCACGCGGCCGTGGCGGTGGGCGCAGCCTGCAGAGCAGCCCCGGGCTGCGCCCACGCTGCGTCCTCGTGCGCGGTTGTGGTGAAAGAGCCTGGGTCCCCGCTGCAGGACCTGGCTCTGTCACTGATCTGGCCCGCCGTTCTGTGCCTGAGAAGATGGCCCTGGTGCAGCACTGGACCTTGTTTGTGCTGCCTGTGGTGCTGGGCCTGAGGGCTGGATTCCTGATAATTTGTTGCAGAACTAAACTGCTGTTTAAAGGCAAATATTTCTCTGGAAGGACACGTCTCCTCTACAGTGTGTTCTCAATTAATGCGTTCTCAATTAACAGGAATGGTGATGAGTTAGATTTGAAAGTTGCATGATCAATACACTGGGCAGTCACTTCTGCACCATCCGTGTCTGCCTGTAGTTAAAGAAGAGCTGCAAGAAGAGTCTCCCTGTTTGGAGAAAGGAGGTCCCCGCTGCAGTTGCCAGCTGCCTTTATATCTGTGATGATGGAGAGAGCTGTATGTGTCAGAGACTGCTGGGTGTCTGTGTCAAGTCTTGGTGCTTGAGGATTCGTAGCAATCCTGGAAGCAGAGCGGGGATCACTGCAGCTGGCAGCTCGTGCAGGAGCAGGATGGAGGCAGGAGAGTGCAACCATATGGTGCTGGAGACACTGAAAGGAGTGAGTGCTAATGTGAGCTGTGGACAGGAAGCAGAAGTTACTGACTGTGCTTCTGCTTGCCAGACTTGTCCCTGGATGATGCTCCAGGCCTCTCTGCAGTGTAGGATCTTGGAGGGCAACACTGCTGTAGTCAGAGTAAACGGATAAAATATGTGTACTGGTGACACTGCCAGGACAGCTCTGGAAAATTTCTGTGCATGTCTTTTGTCCCTCCTTCTTTTTATGTAGCTGCAAGGTCTTCCATAAGGTTCCCTTAAAAAAAAGGCCATACTCCTCTTTCAGTAGCTGAATGGAATGTGCATTTTTGTTCCTGTGTTTGTTGTGACTGTTTCTTCCATTTTGAGTTTGCACCAGGTTGACAACTTTGGAAGATGTCACCATATAGGTGTAAGACTGGGATGGCTAGATATTTATCGGTAATAGTCTGATCTATGAAAAAAATTTATCTGTTTCTCCTTTGAAAATTTCTAAACTACTTAACAGTTGCACAAAATACTGCCTAGATTTTGATTGCCTTAAAGAAAAAGAAATCACTCTCTACTTTTTGTTTCTTTATCAGCAGTCTGGGCTAGTGAGTTTTGCCATAGAAAAAAGCAGTCTGGTAGCAGAGATGTTAGGTTTGAGCAGATATCAGGGAGATAATGAGATCTATTCTGTACTTGGAGTAAGAAAGATTGTATGCTTATTTCCAGGTAGCAGCAGGGACTGATGATTTGAGAGCGGTGTTAGCATGATGCCACAGCACTTGCAAGGAGGAAGTTCAATAGTTCTCAGGAAGACAGATTTTACCTAACACTGTGCTTTTCATCCAAAAGATTAACAGATATTTGCAAACAAAATTATTTATTAGATATGCTCAACTTTACATTATATTCCAAAGTGTCCTTATATTCTTTTTCCAAACTCCCTACACAGTTATTTATACCTCTTTCTGTTCTGTTATGTATTCTGTGCTTGATCTTCTCCTGAAAATTACAGAATCCCAGAATGGTTGAGGTTGGAAGGGACCTCTAGAGATCATCTAGTCCAACCCCTCTGCTCCAGCAGGGACACCCAGAGCATGGGGCACAGGGTGGCGTCCAGGCAGGTTTGGAAGATCTCCAGAGAAGGAGACTCCACAACCATGCTGATATTCTTTTTTTTTTTTTTTTTCCCCGCCCTTAGAATGATTGTAATAAATATCTTCAGCTGTACTTGACTTAGAGGATTACATACGTGTGGGAGCACCTAGTGCTCTGTGGTGGCCGAGCTCCGGTAGCGGGAGAAGGTCAAGCCGGATGGGGGTGAAAGGAGAAGCCAAATCCTGTGGATGGAAAGTCCTGACGGGAAGCATCCCTTGGCTTCAATAGAAAATACCTTGTTGGTTACAAGTTCTAATTATCCTTTGATGAGTTGAATAGAAGAAATCTAGTTTTCATTGTTGGTTTGCTGAGTGACTTATTTTCTCTACATAGAGTACTGTCTGGCTAATACTCTATTTATTTTAGAAATTATTTGTAGAAGCCTATCTCTTAAAATACCGCTTTATTCCTCTGACAATCTGGAAGGATTTGTTCATATTTAAGTGGAGTCACGTACACGAAGAGAAGAATGGTGTATTTATTCTTATACACAGAGTGGTTCTTGGTATAAGAATGCTAAGCCAATGTAGTTTTGGCTAGTTTTGTAGAATACTAGAAGATCATAGAAATTCTTGATTGAAAAATTTTCGAGTTGTTTTAGGTGTTCCTTTGCTTTTGTGAAGAATGTTCATTCTTGATTTCTTTTAAAGTTTCAATTTTACAAACCCTGTGGGTGTTATATGTTTAAAGAGCTAACGTGGCTTCACTAAAAGCAAATTGGAACTTCAGGGGATTTGAGGAAAAACATTTTATCTTAAACTTAAATTAGCAATTAGACTATTGGTAGTTCTCAAAATAAATACCATTTCAGATGAAGTGAAGTGTACTAAGCACCTTCTCTGAAGTATGAAACTAGAAGAAATTCATTTGGAACAGTGATTACTTTAAAGTAACTAGAGAAAATGCACCACTAAGTACTTAAATTATTATTTTTGTCCATGTTTCAGTCAGTGATGTATAAAAAATGCAAAGCTTCTAAGCCATTTCTTGAGTAATTAGTTAACAAACTGTCTCCTGCTGAGAACAGCTGTGCTCTCTGAAGCAGTTGGGAAACAGCATCCTGTGGACTGAGGGGTTTTGTTTACTGGGTTGCCCTTTTTGGTAAAGATCTGCTGTAACACCAGGCATAACTTGCTGTTTGTTGGTATCCTCTGTATCCAAAGTGGGTGATTTGTTGCCCTTCTCAGGCTCCCTTATCGGCAAACAGGGTAAGGAGGCGGCGCGGGCGGCCGGCCCGCAGGCCCTGTGAAGCCGCCGCGGGGCCCATTCGTCTGCACGGAGCGCGGGGGCTGGCGGCTGCCTCACGGCCAGGCCTCTCCTCCTGTGACCCGGGAGCCTGCAGCAAGCAGCCCCTTTGGGGAAGGTGCTGAATGTGGTGCTTCCCAGTCGAAGTAGCAGTGGAGAATACGATGTCCCCATTGCAACAACACTGCTAAGTGTGGGAAGTGCTAGTTGTCAGTAATTCTGACCCACAGAAAGCTCTTCCCGTTGCACTTGTGCTGGCAGAGTCGCTGGGTGGCAGCAGGGTCCCCAGCGCGAAGCCGCACTCCGAGCAGGGTCACTGCCAGGCTCCAGCCATGGTTCGTCATCCCTCATGGTTGCCAACCCCCCTGAAGGCAGGAGCAAAGCTGAGCTGCAGCTGACCTGCCTTGGGGCTGTTATCCTGCGTCCTGCAACTTTGCCTGCAAGGTCCGGTAGCCAAAGGAAGTAAAAATGCTTCTACAAGACTGCAAACGCAGGATGGCAGTTATGCTGAGTCCAGGCAAGACTCTGAACCGTTTAATTAGAGAAGGATCGGCAGGGCTTAGAGCAGATCTGCAGCTCCAGAGCTGGGCTCACTTATGTGCTGCCTTTCACATGTGGCCTGTGGTACGGGACACAGCTCGTCTTTCAAATTTCAGCAACTTTCTAATTAGAATAGTATTCATGGACATAAGGATGAGATGTACATTAAAGATGAATCACCCTGTGGTAATGGTAGCCCTCATAGCTCTTAAGTTGGAGGGGGAAAAACTTTGACCTTACTTATAATTACAAAGTAATGGTATTAGCACGTTACTGATACTGTTTTTCTGAAATTATTTTAACAGACTTAGTTATAGGGGAACATAGGGATGATGTTCTTAAAAGATTGCTTTTAACACCTCCTTCCATATAGACTACACTTTTAATAAGGACTTATTTTTATACCATTTTATTTTAAATGCAGGTGAACCGAGGAAATTCGATCCAAAGTTCAGAGGACCCATTCACAACAGGTAAATATGTTAATTCAGTCTATTTATCTTCTCAGTTTTGTAGTGAACTATGAGTTAAAAAGTGTCACATTTAACCAATGTCTTCTGTGCTACCTTGTGCAGGCATGAGCAGGACTGTTGCAGCCTTGATCTGGCATCTTTCATTGGTTCTTTTTGTGGTTTTATATGCTGAAATGGTTCCTTTTCTCTAATACTCTTTCCTAAAATAATGTGTGCCGTGGTTTTATCTTGGATAACAGCTCAAATCAGAGCTTTGACCTGTTCGTTTGTATCGCTTGTAGTGGCTGACAAAGACCACTATGCTCCAATGCTCTTGGCCTGAGCATAGCATTTGAGACCTGGCTTTGTTTCCTTGCTTTATGACTCAAGGCATGAAATCATTTATTTATTTAGATTGCTCACGGGAAGTAATTTATTTATTCTAATTTTTTCTGATCTCACACTGAGCTTCTCTTGGGCTTCCCCATCCCCTCTCTGCTTCTCTCAAGACTGTCTGCCTCTTCTCTGCAAAACTGTTGTACAGGATGGAAACGTGCTGAAAAAGGGGACTGTTTCCAACCTAAGAGCAGGGGAAGGCAGTTATAAAACACGTATGCTTTGTTACGACCTTCTGCCAGAATGATCTGACTTTCCTGTTAAATAGTTTTGCTGAATTCTTGCTTGCTGTATTACTAAACAGTAAAGAGACATTGCAATTTGACATTATTGACTCTTATGATATTATTTCAGAATTTGTGAAATATGCATTTCTTGTATCTCTAACTTTGGGAAGCTTGTGGGTAGGTGGGAATTTGAACTTTTCTCTGAGTAAAGTCTCATTTATACCTCTCTGGGTTGAAGAGTGATGTTTATAATTCAGTGCACCCTGAAGCTTAACAGAATTTGAAGTTGCATTGAAAGAAGCTCATCACTTACGTGGAAATACCTTTTTTTTAATAAAAAACCTGTTCTCTTGGTGTATGAGCTATGTATGAGTGCCTGTTTATGTATATGAGAGCTTCTGTTTGAATGCCCCGCTTTCATCCTGCCTTTTCTCCTGTGTCAAAAAGGGACTGCTTTTTTAAAATATTTTTTCATTTTTTCTTTGTGGTCTCTAGAGTGTTTCAGTATTCATTTTGACATAAAGATGCCAGAATTAGGTGTAATAAAGTAGTTATTAAATAAAAGGGTTTTTTTTTTGTTGTTACCTTCTCCTTAATATTTGTCAATGACTGTCTGAGACTAGAAATGCATCCCAGGAAAGTATTCACAGGCATTTGTGTGCAGCACAAACAGCAGTGGTAAGAAATGGTGTTCAGTGTTCTATTCCAATACACCTTTTAAAAGACCTTTCACTGAGTTATTAGCTTCAATTTAAAAAAAATAACAAAACCAAAGCTTTTTAATGTCACGAATGGCCTACATCACAAATATACTGCCAGTTTCAGTATCAATTCATGTAAGTTCTAAAAGAAGATCTATCTTCAAACTGGTATAAAACCTTTATTAACATATGTTATAGTGCTACTACAGTAATGCAGATAAATGAGTTGAAATAATAGTCAAGCACCTTTTCATTGAACTGAAATGTCAAGATTTTTTTCATAGCTGTTGTCTTTTGACAAGATCTATCAACTTGCTATTTTGTTAAAATCCGTATGAAGTCCAAGTCTGCTGTGAAATACATCTTAGTTGAGTGCCCTGGAAGTACACAAAGTTTGTGGTATTCCATCTCCTGTTAATAGTAAAGAACGTGTTTAATGATTAATGTTGGTAGCTGCTGGAAAAAAAAAAACAGTGTAATCCATTTCAGTTTACTGATGACTAACAGGAAAGTGAACATTAAAAAAGTGCAAAATTATATGCATTATACTTATTATACTATATACTCAGTTCTTCTCTGTTTTACTAAAAAATGCTCAGAAAATATAAAATCTTGGCAAAAGAAGAAAAGATTAGTTGGCATGCCACTTCTGACCAGCTGTTGCTATAAATGTAGATTCTAGTCTTGAAATGAATCCATGAGTTAAATGAACTCCAGTTTCTCCGTCTATTTAAGTTTTATGAACACTTAAACATACTATACAAAATGTCTCTCAGTCTGCATTTTAGCACAGTGAGTATTGCAGAATGGTCAAGGTTGGCAGGTACCTCTGGAGATCGTCTGGTCCAACCCCCTGCTCAGACAGGGTCCCCTGGGTCTTGATTATCTCCAAGGATTTCCAAAAGACTCTACAACGCCTCTAGGTAGACTTTGTCCAAAACAAGTGTTTTATTGCAAAGAGCATTTTGTTGCAGAATGAGAAAATATTTGCCGAGCAATTTGAAGGAATTTGTATGGATCTTTGTCCAGCCATGTTTGCTCCAAGCTGAGTGTTAACAAAATCTCCGTTTTCAGTCATTAATCTTAGGTACGTTAAAATACCGTGGGAAGCAGTTCTGCTATTTACTGCATATGTGAATTTAAAAACATTAGAAATGAGGAGTCGTACTTCCGACCTAAAATAAAATAACCTCATAATTAGGGATGTGGTAATATTGAAGCAATCTGCTATCTCACGCTTTCCTGCAGACCTAACTGTTCCATGTAACACCTTTTTTTTTCCTTATAAGCTAAGCTGACCTTTAGAAAGACTTGGCACTGAAAAAAATCTTATCTTCCATAGAGCTATAAGGGTCTGCTGCCATTAAATGTTGCTGCTTTCTCTTTTTTCTCCATCCCCAATTTCAGTATTTAATACAAGTCTCTTTCGGGGAGCTATTCTGATATGCTTGGATTAAACACTGACACAAATAAACTAAATGGCATCTTTGTGCCCAGGATGATGCTCAGGCTGGTGCACTGGGTAAGGGGTGAGGAGAGACTGGAGGCCAGTTTCAATCTCTCTTTCCCAGAAGCTTTGAATCAGACCCACAGCTGGTAAAGTCTCGAAGCTCCCCAGTGATTCAGAAGAGCCAGATAAACCTTCACTGGTTTAGGAGTTGCTCCAGCAATTATTGCCAAGTATCTTGGACAAAAACGTTTTAAATCAGAGGAAGCATGAGGAGGTAGGATGTTTTCTTAACAGTATGTAACTCAGGGTTTTTTTTTTTTTTTCCTCCCCCCTGCCCTGAGCACAGCGGTAGAGGAGGTGCCCATTGTAAGAAATCACCAAAGAGTGCAATTGCATAAAATCCGGAGTTCATAATGGCTTGCCAGCTGACTGCCAAGAAGTGATACAATAACATGTATTTGTCTTGTGACTGCAAATACTAAAAATAGGCTGCAAGTCATAGGGATGTAACATTGTGTTTACAAACTTTGCATCATTAAAGGGGTTTGAAGGTGAGATATGGAAAACGTTGCAGTTGGAAAGCCGTAGTGGTGGTGGGGGGTGAAGGAGATACCAAATCAGTATCGGGTCCACAAACAGTCTGTGGACCGTAGGTCCGATCGCCTTCCTAGGAGCAAATCGAGTTCCCAAATAGTGTGATCAACTATAAGCTCGACCCTGGTAGTATCGGATTCACGAACAGTCCGTGGACCGTAGGTCCGATTGCCTCCCCCCGAACAAGCAGTCGAGTTCACGAACAGTATGATTTATTCAAATGCAACATTTACAAAGCAGGTTTTGGGTGTCAGCACAGGAAATTCTCTACTGCAGTGTGGGATTTTTAGTTAGCCCTGATGTACAAATGTGCAGTCATCACTCACCCCAGAAGATGGGAGGGGGCTCTCAGTCTCAAGTCTCCTCAGGCAGCGTCCCAACCAGAGGGGAAAAAAGGCGGATCAGCGCATCGACCAATCCAGAATTTACGATGGAATCTGTGTTTTAGTC